AACTTGAACTGTGTCAGAGTAGGTCTTCTTCTTCACCCCTCCAGTGCAGTGACAAAATGGAAAAATGGACACATAACGGAAAACTCAGGTTACAAGGCAGGATAATTCTACCTTTTGTTGTGCCCTAGTTTTCTGCTTGAGTGATCCAGATCTTACAAAATGTATTTCTAATGGCTTTAATCTGCACAAATCCCTCCTGCCTCTAACATGCTTGTACAGGCACAGTCATGGCAAGAATGGCAGTTCCAATATATTGCTGCTCATAAAGGATTTTGGTTAGTGCATGTGCAGGGTTTATCTGGTAGTTCAACTGGGAAAGAAATCCCTTCAAATTTTCAGAAGTTTTTATAAAGGCAACTTCATCCACAATATACAGAGTGGCCTTAAACACTCTTTCTAAAGTTCAAGTCTGTATTTTATCATTGCAGTGCACTCAGTAATGTGCAGAGGATACTGGGATGCTCCCAGCACAGAATCCAGCTGCTGGAAAAGGATAGTCTATGGCATATGCACTGCAAACCACTCTGTTGGATCACTAACTCATTTGGAGAGAAAGGCATGGAGAGGGTTAGATCATAGGTATTTTCCACAGTAAATTATTTAATATTAACTATAGGAAAAAATTATCTGTGAGGAGAACAGTCCAGGAAACCAATTAAAAAAGGGGACTCTAGGGGGTATGTATTCAGAGAATTGTGGGGGAAGTTGTGTGCAAAGCTCCCACTCAAGTCAATGTCTAGAGGGGCATCGTGGTGGATGGGCAGTGAGAAAATGTCTTTAAAATGACCACCTTTAGCTGGGTAAATAATGAAACCTATGACTTACTAGGTAATGACTGTGTTCATAGCCTGATTAAAAAGCTGGGATAACCAACCATGAAAAAACAAAACAAAACAAGACCCAAACCAAACAAAACAAAACCAAGGACAACAAAACCCCAAACAAACCAAACCCCAAACAATCCAGTGAGGGGGAGGAGGGCAGGCTACATGTCAGTGCTTTGCCTTTCTGCACCCAGCTTTTTGCACAGCTCAGAACACTTCAGAAAAGTGGGCAAATCTGACTCCATTTTGGATAATAACCGGGACAAAGAAGCAAAATGACTTTGCAAAGGGGTGCTCCCCCCATTAAAATCAAGGGTGAATGCACATGCCTGTTTTGTTCTAGAAGCCCTTAGCTGAGACTGGTGGTGGTCTCAGCAGAGCACACAATGTACTTTTTAATGAGTTTGTTGCTCACATGATCTGACTCCTCACTCTGATGCTTCCCATTTGATCATGGGAGGTATTGTGGTGTGGTGCTTAAAAGGTAGCTTGTGCTTCCTCTGCTAGTATCTATTTTGTAAATAACAAAAAGCCCTTCAGACTCCACAGAAACTATTATAGCACCTTTTCTCTGCAGTAAATTATGACCAAACAACAAAATGTTTTAAACTCTCAAAGACTGTAACTAAATACAGCCAGCATTCCCCTACTTTCTGAATTACTGCAAGAGAGCCAAATTCTCTGTGGTGGCTCAGCAGATCAAGGGCACTTACTCATAAGTGAACACTCATGCTTACAACACTGTAGGTGCATTGTATCGGAAATAGTGCTGTCCACATTTTGGGATGGTGAATGCTTAAAGCTGAGCCAAACAGTTCCTGTGCCTGAAATCCCTTCCTTGAGAGCATAGAGCCACTCCAGAGGACAGGCATGAACTGCACTGGTTGTTTTTTGCGTGTCTTGAATGCCAAATGAATGTCTGTATTTACAAAGGACCACGAAACTCTGCGAGTGGGACTCCACTGTTACTGAGCTCCCACTGCCAAGTGCACGGAGCCTGAAAAGGTCTGTGATTGAGGTCCAGCACAAGGCAACTGCTGTGAAGAGCTGTCATCATTTGATGCCTCTTAGGCACTTTTAAGTTCTGTAGTAAACATGGTGACTGCTTTAAAACCAGAGCAGCCGTGGGGTGACAAACATATGTTCCCCTTGGAGGTCTTGGGCAGCAGTGATGTTTCTGACTGGGTTGGTTGGATCTGCTGTTCAGTGCCCTTGGGAGGTAGTCCACCATCTCCTGGCTTCATTTCTTTGTAATTCTGACTTGTATTTGGCCTCTCAAGCTCGTAAACTGTTTTTTTAGAAAATTTCAGCCAAAAGAGTCACATCGTTTTTAAACGTGAAACAAGGAAAATCAATTGTATTATCCACGTTAAAAATCTGGAATTTCTTCTAGGAAGCACCAGCACCTCTGTGGCTCACAGAGGGGAAAATGGAAATTTGGAAGTGCATCCTCTGTGTTGGTAATGCTCTTTTATCACCTCGAAGAACCCCCGGCCATGTTGTAATCCTCTGAATAACCACACCAATTTAGTGAAATCTCCTTTATCAAGGAAAGCCTCCATCGTGGCTCATGCCCAGAGGCATGAAGGCAAAAGCAGACTTTTCCCACAACTCCTGCCTATCCAGGAGATTGGGAAGAGGCACTGGGATGGGGCAGTGTAAAGCAACAGTGAGGAGGAAGCCTCCCCAGGAAACCTGGTTGGTTTTCCTGCCGCCAGGTGAGGAGAGAGCAGGAGGAACCTGCTGGGTCTGCTGAGGGGAGAACGTGACCCACCAGCAGAAAAGCTGGGGTGAAGGGCCTGGGGAAACACAAAATCAGTGACTGAGAGGCAGGATGTGGAGAAAGGACCTGCTGTGACAGAAGATTGGTGAAGGAAGCTGATGTGGGTGAGGCGAGGTCTGGGATTAGCTGGCCAAGGAGGAAGGAAGATGAGGTGTTCCTGGGGATGGCAGAAACAGAGCTGAAAGGACATGAATGTGAAAGTGCAGTCTTTCAGGAGGTCATTTAATTCAACAATTAAATATTGAAGTTCCGTTTTTTTCTGACATCATGTACATCAGAAAATATTGGAATAAATCCTGATTACTGCGGGAGTATTTGAGTGTAGTTGAACCATTTGGGTTGAACTATCTGAGAAACTGTAATCTCTGGAAGATTTTAGTTAGGAAGGCAAAGCTGCTCTAGTTTGTCTCAGAAGTAGGGATCTTCAGGATTTGTTTTCCTGCAAAGCTGAGAGCTCAGAAAAACTTGCATTCAACTTTGTAGAGTCTGCAGTGGTGACTTTCAAACCAGAGCCTGTGAATCACAGGATCCATAGAAAGCTTTCTTAAGGCCTGCATAAAAATCTTTAAGAAAAAGAGGATTTTTGCTAGAATTCTCTACAGTTGCAAATTGGAAACTAGGAAAACAATTACAAGTACTTAAATGGACAGTGTAAAGACGAGGGGAGACCAGAGACGCTTGAAAATCAGTTTTCCTCTTACAAGGAGGCCAGTTCTATGGAGTCAAGGTTAAGCATTTGGGTTTGGTTTTATGCTCCTTGGGCCCCCTGTCTGCCAAGGATCATCTTTTCTGACGAAGATAAATTGCCTCTGCCCGCCACAGCTTTCAGTTTTAGTTCCAGCTGGGGTATGCTGGTAATCCTGAGATAAAAAATAGTCTTCTGAATATGTTGCAGTTAACTTCAGTTGTATAAATCCAAGCATTAGCTGGATGCTATAAATAGGCAGGATGTGCAAGGAGGCCAAGTTGAAAATGTGCAGAAACCATGCCTTTTTTCTGTAGTGCTATGCTTCATCATGTATAATATTTTTCATCTGAAAAGGAAACAGTGTGCATGTGCTTTGTGGCTGCAGTAATTAACTGGACATAATGAAGCGTTGAATTTCACACTTTGGAGAAGCAGATTGGGAAGGATGGGTAATTTTTTTCTCAAGTTTTCTTGCTTTTAGTACTTTCCTGGAGGTATTTTTCGGCAAGATGGGGTAGAGAGCAGAAATACATCTGGTTTATATTACATGATGGCTGTACTTTGGCAACGGGAAAAGATGGCACTTAAAAAAAAAGGAAAGAAGAATAAAAAAAGAAAAGTTTGGCAACTGCAGAATAGAACAACAAAAATTACAAGAACTATCTTAAAATTCCCAGGATTTGTAATTTGTTTTTCCATGCTTGCATTTTTCTGATGTTGCTGGTATTAAAGGGGTGAGACAGAGGAAATTCAGTGGGATTTTGCAAAGCGCAGATATCTCCGTGAAACAATCTCCTTTATTCAGGTTGCCCCCACAGCAGCTGCTCTGATTAACACGTGGGTGGTGGTGAAAGGGATAAGAAACAGGGCTCATATGTTCACTTTAGGAAAAGTGATAGATCATAGGTTTTTTTCTCATGTTTTCTTCAACAAGTGGCCACGAAGTACTGGAGGTAGTTTCTCCCTCAGCTGCTGTTATCTCTGGGTATTGAGCAAAGGTAAAATTAATGCAGATGTTTTTGGGACCAGAGCCACCTGAGGCTTTGTGGTGGGAGAGGGGAAAAGTTATTCAAGCAACGCAGCAGCACCTTGGGATGTGTCACCTCCTGCAGTTCCCGTTTTTAATTTCCTTCATATATTCACCCAGGAAACAGGGTATTTTTCCCCCTCTCACATAAGGTGGTTGCAAAGCATGAAGAGCTGAGACTCTCCTCATGGGGCAGATATTCGCAACTTTGAGAAGAGGTGTTGGGAGCTGAGGACACTGAGCATCTGTCTGGTTTTGAACAAGGCCACGGGGTGTGACCTGTGAGCACCTTCCAAGAGTGCAGTAAGTGATGCATCCCCCGGGGCAGCTTTTCACAGGCTCCAATTTGGAGAGTGCAGCGTTCAGCCTTTGCAGGGATGGGGGCTGGAAAGGTTGGGAATCTAATTTTCCCTGCAGCAGTGTCTGAGCTATACGACTGCACCCCCAGGTTGTTCAGCTGACTTGAAATAGAGCACTGGAACAAAGTATGTTCTGAGTGATTTTTAAGTAAAAGCTAATGTGAAAATGTGGGCATTTAAACCAATGTAAACACATTAAATTTGAAACGATTTTCAAATGTAGTAAATAAAAAAATAGTGCTCCTGCTCTTGAAATTCCTAAAGGACACATTTTTCCTTCTGAGTCATGATTTAATTAGATTATATTTTATTAGACATTCTTTACAAATTTTAAAATACTGCTATTATACATGCACAAAGGAAAATCAGTTTGAACAATGGTATGTAGGCATTCATTGAAATCAACCACAAAACAGGAATATTTTATGTCAGTTATCAATGTACTCAATATGTATATCTAAAGTGCATTATGTTACAAAAAATATAGAAAGTCAGCAGCACCAAGATATGTTCACAAAATAAATACACCAGTCAACAAAATAAATTATGGTAGATGTGACAATAATAATTGTCTTAGCCTTAGCCAAAAAAAAAAAAAAAGGAAAAATTCACAATAACCAAATGTGCAGTTTCAGAGAGCAATGGGGGGAAAAAGGTTTTATTCTGAGCATTTACAATATTTACAGGTAATAAATATTTTAATACTTCCCATATGTTCACTATTACAGAATACTGCAATATGTCTTCCAAAAATCTCTTGCTGAAAATGTCAGCGCCTCCTGCAAAGGAAAAAAAAAAGGACAGAAAAAATAGAAAAATTAATTTTCACTTCATGTACATAAAATTAATAGCAAAAGTGTCACAGACTCTAACAGGTATGCCTTGCAAGTAAACATTATTTGCAATAATAGGGCCTGTTTAACAATATTACAGCTGTAGATACTTTTTTAGGACCTCCACTATATTTTCTTCAATGCAACTCATCCATCAGTTTGATGACCCACAGTTTGTCACAACACTGAGGCCATCTATTGCACTGTACTGTACACTCAGAGTAACAGAAAGGGGCTTTAGTTTTTTTTAGAGCCTTATGCCAGAAGATTCCTGAGTGCTCCAGGTACAAGAACTGTAACACCCTATGATAAATATGCCAAGCGTTAAAAAGAAAAAAATACAGTTGGAGAAACGAGGATTTAATTTTAAATATATTAAAAAAAAAGTCCTCATTAACTATGTGGCAATCCTGCCCCTGCTGTGTTAAATGGTTGGGTGTGATGCCAGGCTTGGGTGTGATTAAAACAGTGCCATTGAGCTTATTTGGTCCCTTTTTCTCACTGATAGAGCAGCTCTTAGACAAGGGTCTCTGTATTTCTGTGGTGTCACATACATGAGGATATGCAGGAAAGGATGCTCACATCTTGGAGTGAGCCAACCCTCTGACAGAGTGTCCCTTTGAGGGCTTGGATGAGTGAAAAGGCTACAATCCTGAAACTTTCCCTCTGTGAGCAAAAAAACTTGGTCCTGAAAGAAAATAAGCACCTTGTTGTGTTAAGCTCTAACTCCTGTTGCATTCAGTCCAAGCTGAAACAATCAGTCCTGAGATCAGGGAGTTTTCTAAGGGATGTTTGCCTTCTGGGATGAGTTCTCTACTCCTGCCTTCCTTATGAAGGCATGAGAACAAAACCAGAGCCTGCTCCTACCTGCTCCTATCCTGTATTACTTATACTGTAATATTATTTTAGGTTGCTTAGTGGTGCTGGAGGAAATGCTGAAAGGTCGGGTGTTTTTCCCTTCTGTCCCTGTGAACAGCACATTTTTTAAATGATTCCCTGGGAAAGAGCTATGGGGTGGAACATGGAGGTATAGGATGGAGTGGGATTTGCTCTGCTGCTGGACTGATCACCAAGAGCTATGGGTAGCACTCCACATGGTAGAAGTGTGTGGGTGTGAGGCACAAAAAAAGTCAAATCCTGGAGAGTTTAAGAGGGGTTTTTTTAATGGGCACGTTGAAACTGAGACTGCATTTGACATTGGGGAGTTTACTCATTTGCAAGGTTTCTCAGGAAATTAGGTAAGGACAACTTAATTGAATTGAAATGGGAGTATAGATGAAATGTCCATGAAAAATAATTTTGAAGAGTCTGGAATGGAAATGCCAGCATGAAGGTCCTTAATAATTAACTAGCAATATTTAATTACTAGTTATAGTAATATATTACAATAAGTATATATTACAATAAGTATAACAATGGCACATACTTCATAGAGCATGGCTGTGCATGAATGTGTGTCTGCACTACTCAGGCCTGTTTCTAAGAGGGTGACATTTTTGATTTGGCCTGGATTTTAGCCTTTGTTTTAGAATTTAAGCTAAGCCACATCTTGACAATGGGCTTTGTACTAATGATAACTTGCGAGCTGCCTTCTGTGATTTGGTCCCAGATTTTGCAAGACTGGCTTCTTTTATGAGGTCCTTATTGTGGTAAGTCGAAAGATCTAGAGATGACATTATTTTTATCCTTTCATTCTGACCTAAACCCATAATTTTGTTATCAAGATTGAGCTGAGAGAATTGGCTTGAAGATTTTAATTTGGGGTGTTGAGCAGAAAAGAAGCGCAGAGGTACGGTGAAAAGCGTGCCTAAAGTTTATCTTTGCACTTCCTTGACACTTGCCCTGCTGCATTATGCATATCCACTTCCTCTCTGTAAAGTAATGATGCTGCTCCTAAGCTGCAGTTGGCCTTAGGGATGCAACAAAAGCAGCTTCTACTGGTGGAGCATATAGAAATCTTGCCTGCACACACCGTCCCTGCCACCCACCAGCAGTAGGGTAGAAGTTCCTGATTCAGCTGAGGAATCAACCTCCCTCAGATGTGGCCATCCCTCTGTCTAAACCTTATTTGCCCACCTTGTGCCAACAGCTGCTTAGACAACTGCATTGGATCTGACTCCCCCATCTAAAGGGAGTCAGGGAGTTGGGACTCACTTTCGTTTAAAGTGTAGAAATTACACCTTTTGGATATATATCCCATATCTGGGATAACTAAAAGCTTGTGTACCAACAGTTTCTTACAAGCTAAACCAACATATTGTGCTCTGTACTCGTGAAGGAGAAATTCTGTTTTCCTTGTTTAATGTATTCTCTTCATTTAATAGTCTTCAATTAAGTATCTAAAATATAGGTTCTCCATAGGGATCTGCTTCTTGCCCTGAAGAAATACTGCATCTTGGATGATAATATCAGTAAGGTAAAGGTGGACTGCCTTCAGCAGCCTGGACTCTACAGTAAAGTTGAGAGCCTTCATCCATCCAACCATGCTTCAAACAGAAAGGCTGAACTAGGAAAATCAACAGGGTTCTACCTGTAGCTCTTTTATATATTCCATTGGACATACAAGCAAAGACACCATAGTAAGATAAAGAAGTAACAGTTAAAATTCCCTGGGATATTTTCCCCCTTTATATTTAAGATTTCTATGTGCTGAAGACGTGTGTTATTTACTGGCCAACACAGCTCCTTGACATCTGTTGAGACGTCAGGCGTCTCCTGACCGGAATCCTGAAGTCTCAGCCTTTCCTGAGGTGCTGAGACAAACTGGCCTCTCTTACTTCACCCCTACCTGCTCCAGCCCTGCCAGCTGGTTTATGGTCTGGGACACCGAGTGCCAGCCCCAAATTCCAGTAGCTCCTGTAGAGGCCAGCAGGAGCTGGGACCATGGAGCACATTGCAAACTGTGGCCTGTAAAGCTCAATCCAAAACTGGATTTTAGTAAATCCTGCAGCTGGCATGTCTTTCTAAGGGATTTACTGTGAGCGAGTGGCACTTCTCTTATGTCTCTATCCTGCCAAAGTGAAGGGGAGGAGGAGAGAAAAGGGTGGGAGTTTTGCTGTTGAAAATGCAAACATCTGAGGAGAACTGAGGAGTGGACTCCTTGGCTTTGTCTGCAAATGTGTGGACTTCCACCCAAGATGAGATGACTGTGAGTCATTTGGGACACTTGGGCTGATGTCTCCAGCTCACCACTGCCCTGAAAACCCTGCACTGTCATACATGAGGGAAGCACATCTCTCTCCAAGAGCAATGCTGAACATTTTTCAGCAGCAGTGTCATTGTTCCATGAGCTGGCAAAAAGATGGAGCTGAATTAAAAAGTCCTAGTGGCAGGGGAAAGTTTATGGTGAAAGGCTGGTCTGCGTTGTTTGCAGATATTGCTAAGAGAGAATTTTTCCATGTTCTCCCCTAAGGTTAAACAGTAAAATGAAAACCTGTAAAGTAAGGGTAGGAAACTTGCCAAAAAGAGGAGGTGTTGAGAGGGAAGAGAGAAAACTTTTCCATTTTATAGATGCAAAGGCTTAAATAAAAGTCAAAGCTTTCAATCTGCTCAGGCCCAAGTGTGGGACCAAGATATGATGTGAGAGATACTGTGGTTAAAGCAGAAAAGGAAATTTCAGTGGCTGTGGTGTGCTTTCTTTTTGCAGAAATCACTTACTACTCAGCTTCAGGCAGCACATTTTGGCATAAAGTGGTTTACTTGAATTGTGTGTCAAAGGAAAGAAAGACTTTGTCACCCTGCAAAGTGGAAGGGTCAGTTACCTTCAGAAAGCCCCTTGAGATGTGCAGTGCTTGAAAAGCTCCCCCCCAGTTATGAGTGTAAAGATCTGCTGTTACTCCAGGTTTGAGCAAGGCCTCGGCCTCTCTCACCAAAGGATTACAATTTCAGTAAATATATGGTTTGGTCCCCAAAAGGACATAGCAGAATTACCTTAAAGTGTGATTATGTGTAGTAACAGAGTTGTCCAAGAGTGGGCTCTCAGTCACGATGTCTCCATAGATGCCAGAATTTAGCCAAGTTGAGCGGGTTCGCCTCTTTTTCTTCTCTTGTTCCTTACGTTTCCCAGGCTTTGCTTTCTTTTTCTTCCCTGATGCCTTCAGGGGCTGCTCCTTGTAGGTCTGTGATTTGTTTGTCTCCTGAGTTAGGTATCTGCCCTCATCTTCGCTGCCAAATCGGACAGGGTAGTTCTTCGTGTTGGTAGCAGGCTTAGGGTTTGGGGACACCTCCGACGTGGCGCGGATTTCTGCAGTGTTGACACCTTCAATTAAATTCTGAAGGAATATTCTCCTTCGGAAATCTTGGATTGACTTGCCTTTGTCATGCAATAGCTGGTGCTCTGATACAGCCCGTTTGCTGAAGAAAGAGAAAAGAGGAGGGGGAAAAAAATGTTTAAGGATTTGGTTGTTGCCCAGCACTTGGCAGAGCTCCTCTCATCTCTGGCCATGGTGACCACAGTGGCTGTGTACCAGCTCTCAGGCTTGGAGACATCCAGTTAAGTCAGACTGCTGGAGCAAGTCCTGCTTCTCAGAGTAGCTGCTCCCTACAGAGAAGGGAAAGACCTAAGAGGGTAATAATTCTCAGCTGACCGATCACACACCACTGGACCTGGAGCTGGATTAGTCACTGCTCTGTTCTAGGAAAGCATTATGACTCTTAATATATCACACTTCAGGCAGTAAAAGCAGGAAGGCAGTTGTCAGAGATAGAAAAACTAAAGGGTTGGATAATGGAGCACTGCACTCAAGCAAGAGAGGGAATAACAAGTACTTGTGCTGGAGCCGGAAGCAGTGTTTATACCGCATCATTCTAGTAATTTCCTTCTGCTCAGTCACATACTTCAAAAACATAAATAAACACACAAAAGTGCATTTCATTTCTTAATTTAAGTAAGTGCAATTGCAGGAGTGTAGTGGAAAAATATTCGAGTTGGGTTGCCTGAAGCACGGGCACTTCAGTCCATAATGAGCTATCCAGGGAGGCAGAGGAGCATCCGCAGAGATGAGCCTCAGCCACGCCTGTTGATTTACTGTTTGGCCACTTGTGTCTAATTATGGGTTTAGGTGCCTTCCTAGTATTGCTTTAAGTGTGAACTTGTGGGGCCAAATTTCTTGTCTGCTGTGCTGTTGGAGTTTCGTGCTGGCCCTCTCCAGGAGCTCTTCAAGAGCATCCTGATTTTGTTCGAGTGCTTTTTCCAGAGTTCATCGTGACCTTTTAGTACACTGAGCTCTGTCTTGTTTTCGAGGAACTGGGAGATGACTAGCTATTTGTCTTTTAGAGATGTTGTACTGGCAAAGAATGTATTAAACATCTGAGGAAAGAAGACACAAGTGGCACCTGGATAATAAATAACTGTAAGAAAATACATGCCTTTTCCTCATGTGGAATAGACACACAGCTGCACTGTGAACCACAGAAAAAGCACAAGCTCAGGTTTTAGTTGTGTTCCCAAGAATGCTATGATACAGTTTATCCTTCCAATTGCCCTGCTTCAGTGTGCAGAGTTTGGCTATGTATTCTCTCCTCTTGCATCAGGGTACTGCATGTGACTGGATTCTTACTGGCCAAAGAAAATCCATTCACTGCCTTGCCTATCCTATAATCATTTGGTCAGTCAGTTGGATAAGAAGTTGTTTCTGCATGTGGGTGAACTGGAAGAAGACACATAGTTGTGAGTGAATATTCCTTCCTTCCATCCCACCCCTCATTTTCCTGCTATATTACCAGGTTTCAAAATGCTAAATGTTTGGGGGTGTTCTGCACTTTCTCAGTCCCTTCACCCAAATCTCTTTAGATTTGTGACTTAATCAACAGTAGAGCTATTTAAAATTGGCAGCTTCAAGTAGCATTGGTTTAAGAGAGTCCTCTTCACTTTTTGTCTCTGTAGGACTGTACTGTCTGAGTATTGGGTTCAAATGATGGGCTCAGGTGATACTACATCTGTTACTCGGTGAAAAATTCAAGCGCAGCTTTCCTCTGTTGCACAGTTAGAATGGAAGATGACTAAAAATCTTGCTCAAAATCAGGCCTAGATATACTGAGGTTTGTCAGCACACATGCAATCATTGTCAGGGTTTTTTAAGCGTCCCAAAATCAGTTTTAAATTACTTCAGTCTTTAGGGCAAATATTTTGTGCCCTTCAACTCAATGTCCCTAAGTAAAAATGCCATGTGATAATACTAGGCTGAACCCATATTGTGTCTTTCTCTTCAGTGCAGCTGTGACCATTAACACAAGCTCATGATCTCCCCCAGAAGAATTCTTTTGACCACTGAAGCTCTCCAATAGCCATCTCTAACAACCTTCTCATTCAGGTCAGTCTGATTGGCAAGTACACTTCTAAAAGGAGCACCTTGGACTCCTCTGAGTGCTGCACCTCTGTGCTGCTTGTCAAGCTGTCTATTGTGGCTCATGCTACATTCCCAACTTCAGTAATCTGTTTTCCCAGGAAATTTGCATGGGAAATGCAGTGCTGCTTTCACTGTTCTAGTTTATAGAAAGCATGCAAAATCTCAGTGCTTTGCTGAGTCCAAAAGAGTATGTCTCATGTGATGAGCAAAGCTTTCCTACTGCCTCTTGTAAACTACCAAGGATAATCCCTTCTACCACAGACAACCTAAAGCTGCCTTAATCCTGTAATATGTATTTGGTCAATTTACCCACTGTGACAAAATCTTGAATCTCCAAAGCCTGTTATTAAAGTCATCTTGATTGAAAACCTATTCCAACTTACAGAACTGAAACCTAAACATTTGGTTCCAGTACACACAAGGCAGTCACAGAGCATTACAAGATCTACATCTTGAGTGTGTATTTTCAAAATAATGCAGGGATTGACGTGTGAGGGGTCAGTGTGCCAAAGAGGGTGGGTTTCTGTTTAAATGTCTGTATGATATTTAGCATCCAGTCTGGCCCCAAATAACATTCTGTTATTCCAGATGATTGTATAACATTACGTAGTGTTACATTTCATATGACTTTTATTACTCAGCCAGGCTTAAGGATTACATTTTGCCTACCAGCTTCCTTCGTAGGCTCTGGATCAAAAATCTCCTTGAAACAAAGAAGATGTGGTAGATACCTATCTCTTTGACCTTCTGCCTCCTTCTGCTTCAGTTATTCAAACAACTCCTCTGTTTGTAAATCATGGAGAAATACTTGCCCAGGAAGACTGATGCAAGGTGGAGATATCAACAATATCTCACCCACACACACAGAGGGTGTGGAAGGCAATGGAAACCAGAATGATTGTACTCACATATGGGCTATGACATGAAAAAAATTTGGCTGTTAGGGTTAAGATGACCCACTAGAGGTCCCTTCCATCCTTCTCATCATGCACTTCTCATCCAATGAAGAGACTGTACCCAAACCAAGTGCAGTAAATGCTAAAGTTACAGTGGCAGGCACTTTAGAGAGAAGGATGTTGATGGTTTGTATTTGACCAGAGCATCCAAACTAATTACTGTATCCAAGCACACTATGTACAAATAAGACTTAATGTCCCATCATGAGGAAGACAGCAGAAATCCATGACTTGTGATTATCCTGACTTCATGTGCTTCCAGATAAGCTGTTCTGTTCAGGCACATTTCTCCTTCATTTTTTTGCCTGAGATATCTAGTGTTACTAAGAGGCAACATTCTTCAAGCAACAACTTCCTATCTCAGGGAGTTGCTCTTATTTAACTGTTATTATCCTTGACTGTCCATGTTGGGTCTGATCATAAATTCAGCAAAATAACTGGAGAGGATTCAGTCAGCTCTCTGTCTGGAGTTTGAAGACTGAGTGCCCTTGTCACCGACTCCAAAGGGAGTGAAATCTGCCCAACCTATCTCAGGGTAGGAAAAATATTTTGAACACATCTGGGGACATGATGCTGCAATGTCTGGGCACGCTGATAAAAATATCTAATTTCACTTTGAGGCATTACTGTGTTTCTCAGAAGTTCTTTAGCAGCTAAAGGATTCCTACAACAAATAATATGTCTGGAAATCTTTTCTTGGGACAATTTTCTATTGCTTTCCATGGGAGATTTGCCTCAGTAAAGTCTCTAGAATTAGGCCTATGTAATTTTGATTATTTTTGCATGTCTATAATAATGTGCTTCAGTATTTTCATCCATTACTGGTTTAAGCCTTTGACTGAAAAAAAAATACCTCTAGGCTTAAGTGAGTTATTAACCATTAACTCTAGGAATGGTTTGTGGTGATATTAAAACAGGACACATGTTTGAGTGTGGTGTCTGTGTTTGTGCTGTGCCCACAAACAAAACTACGAGAATGCCACTAACTGACAGCTAACTGGTTTCTTGTGTGTGTGTTTTACACGCCAGAGCAAAGAGGGAGCTGGGAAATACATTTTCACTGGTTAACTTCCACTTTTCTTCTCCCTGTCAGGACAGAATGGGAATGTTGGGAAGACCTCTAATCCTGACTTTTAAAAACAATTGTTTCAACATTGCTAACTTCAAAAAGAGAGTGTTTCTTAGCAAATCTAATTTTTTTTTCCTAAAAAACAGCCAAATTTGGCTTAGATCCAGTTCAGAGTTTCCTATCCAAGAAAATAACAGCGTTTGACTGCACTTCAATTTTCTTTTTTTTTTCTTAAACTGAAGTTTAATTCGTCTGTATCCAGAGAATGAAACTGTCTCAAATGAAAGAAATAGCTCAAGAATAGCTTCCAGGACTACAAAACAGCTAAGCATTAATAGGCTGAGAAAAATACACTGTAACATTATCAGCAATAACATGTTCTACACAATTTGCTGTAGGAGATTTGTAATAGCTGTCTGTCTGGTGCCAAACTTTAGGTGTGTCTGAAGTCACTCACCTGGGGGATTTTTGGTTTGGCTTCTCTTTTTTTTTTTTTTCCCTAAATGGCAAAGGAAGTGCTATTTGGAGATCTCGTATGTAATAAAACATTTACAAGGAAACCCATCTGAATTTTTTTTGCTGTGTCATGTTTCCCTGTAAGTTGTGATCGGATTTTCCAACACTCTTTCTCCAGCTTGGCTTCCTTTTGAACTGAGTAACAATACAGCCCTCCACAGCATGACTGAGGTGTTTCTTCCTGATGCAAGTCCAGAGAAAGCCAGCGAGTTAGATGCGTGAGGCAGCTGCTCCTACATCAGCCCAGTGGCTTCTCCTGCACTTTGCGTATGGGTATTAGTATAAACCATGCTGATTATTTTGGAAGGAGCAAAAAGGTCATTTCCTGAACAGACTGTCTTAAGTTACACTACCATTTATCAAAAAATATTCTTCTGCCTCCGAGCAAGACACTGGACTCCCTTTGGATTTTTTTCTTTTTCTGAAGTGGCAGAAATCCAAAGAAACTGTTCGGCACTTCAGTGTCACGATGGCCCTCACTTCTGCTTGTCTCCCCCACCCTTATCAATATTGGCTCTGTGCCAGCGCCGAAGAAATACATGTTATTTAGTGTAACATACGGCAGCTTGATGAATCGGGATGCTCCCTACGAGGGACCTCCCCGGACGCCGAAAGGTCCGCGGGCGATAGCACAACAAACACGCGGCTGCGCTGCCGCTCCCCTGGGAAGAGGGGACCCTCAGCTTTCACGTCTCCTTCCCCAAAGCTTCGTAAGGTCAGAGACAGCTGCGAAGCGCCCTATCCCTGCCCTTTCCCAGCCCCAAATCCCCTGAGGCACCGCCGGTGAGCACCTGGGGCAGGTAACCCCGGAGCGCTGCTGGAAGGCTGCGGGTCCTCCCGGGCTACTCCCGCCGCCGGTCCCAGGGGATCCTGGCCGCCTCCCTCCTCACCCGCACCGCCACCGCAGAGAGGGAGAATAAAGCGGAAAAAAAAATAAAAATAAAAGGAACTCACAGTCTGCGGCTGATCCCCTCTACTGATCTGCCGTAAGAGGGCATAGAATAACTCAGCAGGAACACCGCGAAACTCCACTGCTGGAAGAGTTTAGTGAACATTGTATCCTCCGGGGCTTAAAACCTGCAAGGAAAGGGAGGTCAGTCCCGAGGGACACATGCGCCAGCGCCGTCCTCAAGCAGTCCTCGCTTCTCTACCAGCTCCGAGGCTCTGAAGGAAAAACAAACTTTCTGAGCTCTCCGCTCACTCCTTCCAAACTTCGCTCTCTCTCCCTTCCTTGCTGTCTGCCTCTCCCTCTCTCCCTCCCTCCCTCGTTCCCTCCCTCCCTCTTTCTCTGTCTCTCGCTGCCCGCAGGCAAGATCTCTCTCGGTATTAGTCAAAAAAGCGTGTAGCTCACATTTGAGCCGGGTTAGAGAGCGGGTCCATTTGGCTCCCTGAGCCCTATTCAATTCCACTCCGCTAAGCCACTGTCTCAGGTCTTTATGCTACAGGAGAAGCCCTCTCTGCAGATAAGGAAAGATTCGCAAAAGTCAGCTCAGCTGCCCACTTCTCCGTGAACACACTCGCGAACACACACAAACACACACACAGACTGAGGCGAGAGGGGGGACGCATCTCTACATCTGTCTTCTAATATACCTCCAAAAAAAAAAAAAAAAAAAAGGGTCAGGTTCACGTCCTCAGCTTCCGCAAAGTTTGGTCCCCAACTGTGACAAGGAGAGGGAACTCAAGCAGAGGTCGCTGCCTAGCTGGAGAGCCCGAGAGGTCTGAGAGGAGCGGCAGCCCGGGGAGGCTCAGGGGCTGGGAATCATGCTTGGCTCGGCAGGTTGGACGGGGCTGGAGCCTGCGATGTTCACACGCTCCGAAGCAGCCTCTGGGAGACCTGCGGACGGACGGAGGGTTTTGCAAAGAGATGGCGCCCTAGGAATATGTGCGGAGAGAGCGAGAGCCCGGGCGGGACACCCACAGCCAAAACGGAGACTAGAAATAAGCGCTTCCCGGGACCGGAATCAAGGGAGCGAAGAAAGGGAAACACCCGACAGCACATGCACGCAGCGGACCCCAAGGACTCCGGCCAAGCTCTTCGCATCTTCTGCAGCCGGACTTCTCTCTCTCTCTCCCCTTCAGCTCTCCCTTTTTGTGTTTATCCCCAGCTCAGCGCCTCCCCTGCTTGTAGCAGGGAGATCCCGCCATCGGTGGGGGCACTTTTTAGCTCAAGCCCCAAACCCCTGCCCGGGACTGCTGCCGTCTTTCCTTTCACGCACCTACCGTGGTTCGTCGCCTTTCCCCTATTAGCTGGAGGGTCGATCCCTAATGATGCTAATTGTACGCTAGCGAGGGGGTGGGGGGCAAAGGAGGAGGGCTGGGGGAAGGACTCGCCGTCTATGAACACAGACGCTCCTGGCCAAAAAAGTAAACTAGTGGAAAGTTTTCTCCTCCTCTCTCTCTCTTCTTCCACTTTTCCCTCCTTCAGCCTGGCCAGGGCGTTGCAAACCTCTGCGTCAGGTTGCGCTCCCGTGCGAGGCTGCGGGGACAGCGGTGCCCGGAGCGGCGGGAGCGCGGCCGGTCACCCCCCGCACCCCCCGACGGAGGGACCAAATTTTTCCATCACGGGAGAACGCTTATGTAAAAACCGAAGGTAACCCAATCCGCCCCTTTCTCCAGCCTGTTTGCGCGAGGAGCTGCCCGCGGCTGCTGCAAGTCAGGTACCAGGAGAGAGCCGGGGGGGGGGGGGTTGGGGCGCCCCCCCCCCCCCCCCCCCAACCCCGCCGGCTCTTCCAAAGGGGAATACCCTGCACGCCGCTGTCCTCCTGTTCGACGGCAGAGGCCAGGCTTCTCGTGCAGTGCCAGAGAACACCTGGGGAGACCAGCTCCGTCCCGGCAGCATCCTGGGACCCCCCCCCCCCAGCCCTCCGCGGCCGCGCAGCCTCCGCGTCCCGCAGAAACCCCCCGAGAGACCTTCCCGCGGGCACCGCCGGTGCCCCCAAGCACAAAGGGGTCTCTGGTTGCTGCCGCTGACAGCCTGATTTACAGGGAATGCTTTCCCAACACCCTCACAAGCCGCAACAAAACAATGAGGCGTGCCGGCTGGTTGCTCCTTCTCAGCCTCTTCCCGAATTAAGGAAGGCTCTCCGGAGAAAGCTTGGGTGCAAGGCAGAGCATTTTTCTACCTGCAGGTTATTTTGCGTTAAAAGGCACTTGCTGCCACAATTTAAAAGCCGAGCTCCTCAGCCAAATTCCACACCACACAGGCAAATAAAACCGACAATATAAGAGCTGAAATAGAAATCACGGTGAAAACATTAAATCGCTTATGCTGTAAATAAATTCCCTGAACACCTGGTAGGCTATAAATTAAAATGTATAGCTAATAGGCTTCTTTGATTTACACTGCCCTTTCGACTAATTAAAAATAATTGCGAGATCCCCAGAAAACAGCCCCCACACACTCATAAGTCTATTGCTCTTTTAAAGGTAAAACGTCCATCAAATATTTTTAGAATTTTCTTTCCCCTAGAAATTAAAAATTTTAAAAAAACCTCCATAAACCAACACCAACCCTTCCAGACTCAGGAAATAAATAGCCTTCATAAACTCAGAATACTGAAGTTTCTTCACAATTTATTACTTCACCTTTTCCTTGAGTTACAGCTGTCTGTGCCTCTCAGGGATCACCCTGGCCAACAGTGGTTGATCTTCTCAGCAATCGCTTCCAAAAATATGTTCTACGTTTAAGAAAAAGAAAAAAAAAAGAGTAAAAAAAAAAGTTAAATGGAAAAAAAAAGGGTAATACTTTTCAAAATAAATCCAGCCCTACAGATTTTTTTATTCTGCCTGCAACAGGTTAGGGAGAAATAAAGGGTGTTAAAAGCAGGTGCTTTTCCCCCTTGCTGCTCTTTTTTATTATGAAGAACAGAAGCTTCTCCTAATATATATAGTGAAGGAGACCCTTCTCCATTGCTTTTATTGAAAAGACCAAACTTGTGACATCACGAAGTACCTTCCTATGGCTGAGTTTGCCTCATCTCTGCCTCAGTGGGCTTGGGGGGGGGAAGGAGAGAGAGGAAAAAAAAAACCTATGGCTTCGCTAATACAGCAGGAACTGAGCAGTGCCAAACCCGTTTAGGAGACTTACTATCACACCATTCTACGGTGCCCTCCCTGTCCCCCCGCCCCCCGCTGAAGACCGTCATCTCCAAAAACCGGCGCGGCGCTTTTTCACCTGCCACCTACACAAATGCTTAAGCCGTGAGCAAACTCCTGGTACCAAGCCTCACCGCAAGCCTGAGCCCTCCGCCGTGGCAGGATGGGGAGAAAAATCCCCTCACCTAGGGTTTGAACCCGCCCTTCCCGGCAGGACGGCGCCCGGGATGCGGCGGGAGATGCGCACCCGGGTCAGCGGCTCCCGGGAGGGACCCGCCGCCACCTGTAGCGTCTCGCCCCACCGGCCCGGCCGCTCCGCCCTGGGACACCTCCGGGTGTCCCCTGGCCTCGGAAGGGTGAGAGAAGATGACGCTGGACGAGAGGAAGGACCGGCGGAGCGATGCTTTTGGCGCGGTTCCCGTCTCCACACCTGCGCCAAAGCATCGCTCCGCGCTCGGGGCGCCCCCGGGCACGGCTGTCCCCGTGTCCAGGAGCGGGGAAAAGCCACACCTTTGTTCGGGTTTCACCTGCCGGGGCCTCGGTTACGGCAGGGCTCCACGCCAGGGCGAGGAGCTTGCGGTGGCTGGTTGTTTTCCCAGTCGGGACGCACGGAGGGAACCGGTCGTTTTGTTGGACCTGGAAAAGGCTTCAGCTGCGGGGAGGTGAGGCAAAACCCTGTGTTTGCCTTTCTGGTCAAACCTTATCATTTTAGGTTTTCTGCCTCCACTTTCTCCCGTCTTCCCACCTCAAAGACAATGAGATTTTGGAGGGATGCCGCGGTTGGCTTCTGCCTCCTTTTTCCATACGTATAAACAGGCATAAATCAGCTTCCCTACGAGGAAGTCGACCTGGGAGTTTGGCTAGGAAGATAAGTCCCTGCTCCAGGTTTGGCACGTAATTCCCGAGCGGGGAATAGGGCCAGAGGCTGCGGGTGGGTGTGTGACCGGGCTCCCCCCAGAAGCCTCTCGAGAGCGAAACGTTCCCTTGAAACAAAAGCCATTAAGTGGGTTCAGCTCAATGGGGAGGAGGTTCCCTTGCAGCCTCAGGCAGACAGAGGAAAATAATGACTAAACCCCCACCCGGTGCTCAGAGACGGGCTAAATCCTCAGCTCTGCAAACTTCCCATCCTTCACCTCTGTGAAGTTCCGCCTCTCCCTCCTCCCTCTTGTTTTATTCACAATAAAGCACTTTCGTCATTTCCCCTCCCGGATTTCTATAACCTCAGTTGCACTCGTCCAGGGCTTCGGTTCAGACAGGGAGTTTAACCTCCCCAGCCTTCCCAGGGTGGAAAAAATGGTGTTCAGCAAAAAAACACAGGCGTGCTGACTGCTGGAGAGGCTGGCGGGGAAGGGAAGGGAGCGGCACATCAGTGATTGCTGCACTCGTCCTGCGAGGACCAGAAATCCCCTAAGACTTGCACAACCTCTCTGATCCAGAAGGATTCAAAGCCAGCGAGCGCAGCTCTCTGCAGGCGAGGTGCGAAGCCCCAGAGTTTTTCCAAGGCTCTCAGGGTGGGCTTGAGGGCAAGGCTGCTGTGGAACTGGTAGCAAACACGATTGCTTGCAGAGAGAGGCAAACTTTCTAGCACACATTCATCCTTGCCCGCAACCTAGCCCTGCTGCTCTCCGCTGTCCCCAGCTCTGTCCCCTCTCCTCTGACTCTCCGGTGGCCGTCAGGGATGAGAAACTCCTTGGCCCACGTCTGACATGCTGTAATCTTCCTGTGGAGTGAAAAGATCGCTCGGGGAGAAAGAGAAACCCGTTTTTTCCCTCCCCATCAGCAAGACCCAGACGTTCCGTGGCACTCCATCTGCACACACTAATCTCCTTTATTAAAGAATGATAGAGTAGCTCAGTAGAGCAGCCTCTCCCAGCCGAGGGGCAGCCGGAGTTTCCCCGGCTCAACACAATGCGCCGTTTATTTAGACAATATGCATTTAATTTAATGAGCTCGAGAA